ACGTCTAATCTGGCCAAGTCACTGTATCAGACGTTGGGGATTAAGAAGTTGTTCGGAGCGGCGTACCACCTGCAGACACAAGGTCTGGTGGAACGTTTCAACGGAACGTTGATGGGCATGCTACGTATGTTTGTGAGCGAGACGCAGACGGATTGGGACGTGTACCTACCAAGGGTCCTATTTGCGTACCGAGCGGCATATCACGAAGGCCTCGGTGACACGCCGTTCTTTAGTCTGTATGGACGTGACCCGGTACTACCTATCGACTTAGCGTTCCTGAACACAGGAAGGGACTGGAAGAGTAACGAAGTTGCGACGTACCGCCGGAAATTGTATCGCTCGTTGCGTGACTCGCGTCGTCTTGTGGAACGACAACTACTCAAGGCTCAGGATCGACACGAGCAGAGGTTGGACAACCAAGTGAAGGTGACTTATGCAGAAGGAGACGCTGTCTGGGTGTACCAGTACTTTAGAGCCCGAGTGGGGGAACGCAGGACGAAGAAGCTGGCGTTCTCCTGGCACGGTCCCTACCGTGTTGTTGGCCAAGTCGGGGAGAACGCCTACAGGATCGCGATTCCGACGCACCCGAACAAGGTCGTCACGGTAAACGTCAACCGTCTAAAGCGCTTTCAAGGACGCTGGAGTCGACCCTACGCAGACGAGAAGCCTGACAGAGTCGAAAAAGAAGAGGATGAGGACGGTACGGGTCCATTGGACGTCGAGGACCTGCCGTCGACGAGCTTTGTGGAACGTCTCTCAATTGGCGAAGAAGAAACAGCGTTCTCGGGAGTGTCGTCGCCGATAGTGGACGTGATCGCGAAGAGAGTCGAAAAGCGTGAGTTGCAGTATCTCGTACTCACCGCCACGTATGAGACGTTCTGATTGTCTCGAGCGACGTTGGCACCGGAGTTTGGAACGATGATACGTGCCTTTGAGGACGCAGATCGGAAGAAGAGAGGTCTGCCGGAGTTGCGTCGGAACGTCAGATTGGTCGAAGCCAATGCTGATGTCGACGATGCGGAGGTGTTGTTCTAGCTGGCAACGGGAGCCGGTTAGAATGTGTGCAGTTGTGGGACTGCACGAGAGTGTTTGGGACTCGCTGAGTCTCAGAACACTGAGTGACGTGTACATATTTTCTATTTTGGAACGACCACGGGTTGTTCTTTGGGTTTTACGGAGTTGGGTATTTTGGGAACGTCACGAGCATACGAGGACTGAGTGTGTCAGTTTGGAACGCGAAGGAGTTTGTGAAGCATCAGTTTGGAACGTGAAGGAGTTTGTGAAGCATCAGTTTGGGACGTGAAGGAGTTTGTGAACAATCAGTCTGGAAAGTGAGGAAGTTTATGAAGCGGTAGTTTGGAGTCCGAGGGAGTTCGGATGCGTCGGTTGGGAACAAGAAGAAGTGTTCAAGAGAGATTCGTTGACGATAGAAACGGAGAGTTAAGAACAAGGCACGACAACGAGAAACGACGAAACGTTTCGGCTAAAAGGGAACGAGAGCTACGAACGGCTACATCGCAAAGACGTGCTACTTGGCGGCCTTCTTCTGGTCGTCCTCCTCTTCGTCCTTGTCGCTTTCCTCGTCGCCGTCCTCGTGCTCGACGAATTCCTCCTCTTCCTGCTCGTCCTCGTCGTCGTCGGCTTCGGACTCCTCGTCGTCGTTACCTGAAGCGTCTTCGCCGTCGGCCGCAGCTTCCTTCTCTTCGTCCTCGCCTTCATCTTCGAACTCGGACCACTCGTCGCGGCGACGTTCCGTACCGGACGGTGGACGGACAGCTGGAACTTCGTACGTTCCTGCGGTGATCTGGGCCATAATGTCGTCTTGAGCCAGCTTGACGGCGTGGTTGTTTACGAGCGTCTGCCACGGTTCCTCGTTCTTCTCACCAGCCCAAGTCACGTTGGGCTTCGTGCTTGACATAGTGTCGCGGCGAATTCGTGCTAAGGCAGCAAGGGAGAGCCGGCTCTTCTCGTCTGCATCCGGATTCAGTGCTTCCGTAGACTCGAACAAGGAGCGCATGCTGGGGTACCCGTAAGTGTCGATATTCGACGGGTCCAGCGCGTTCTCGAGCGTGGCGTCGTAGCGTTCCTTGTCCTTCTGCTTCAGGGTCGCTAGGTCCTCGGCAATGGGTCCGTTGTAGGGACGGCCATCGCGTGTGGCTCTGCCGGGTTGGCCCCCGAGCCAATACATCTCAGGGCGCTTCTCCAACATCTCGAGGAAGGCATAAAAGCCCCATGTCTCTATGCAAATACTGGTGAAGGCCCAGCGAGCTTGGACGGCGCGCATCTTCAGCTTACGACGCTGAGTCATGGCCGCTGCAGTGGCAAGAGGAGCGTGTAGGGCCCACTCCCAGAAAGCACGGCGATGGGTCATCCAGAAACGCCAGTGTGCGCGGTACACTTGACTGAACTTGATTGGATCGTACCACATGGGACGTCCGGTCCAAGGGTACGCAAGGCGCCAGGGCTTCTTACCAAGGGCCTCTGCCTTCGCCAAGATGGCAGCAATCGCCCGACGAACGGGAGCAGGAGCAGAGCGACTCACGTCGAGAAGATGGCCGAACTCGTTGGATGGAACGTGCGCCTTCTTGGGTTTGCTGGCGACGCGAGCCTTCTTAGTGGACGACTTGGAAGTAGAGTCGTCACCGCTGGACTTACGCTTGCCTCGCGCGGGCGACTTAGGCGACCTGGGTGTCTTCTTGGAGGGCGACTTCGACTGCTTGCTCGACGACGTCGTCGACGCCGTAGCAGATCCTGAAGAGGGAGCAGAATCTACCGGCGCGGGGAGGGCCACGACGGTTCCTTGGAGCGAAGCGTCGGTCTGACCGTTCATGATGTCCTCGGCGAGCTGGTCCAAGAACTGGAGACCCGACGACATGCTGTTGGCGCCCAGGCGCGCGCAGCTCGGTCCAGAACTGCTGCTGGAAGGCCCGCGCAGTGTCCCCAGGGGTGCCCTGCTCCTCATGGTCAAGGGCGGCGTTGAAGAACGCCCGGAAGCGCCTCAGCTCGGCGGCGGTAAGTCGTGTGGACATGGTGAAGAGCGGATTGTGAAATGAGAGAAATCCGAAAACAGGAAGTTTTCACTTGATGGCTGCCAAGGGGCACGCGAGAAGGTTCGACAGTTGGGACGTGGCGTCGACTGAGGGACGCAATGATGCTTGGTGACTTGGGCGGACAAGGTTTCGGGTGAAGAACCTTCCTGACGGCTAACGGTCTGGAGGATCTGCTGTTGTGACGATGTCACTTGGAAATTGATGAAGATGTGGGGAGCGTTAGCGGAATGGGCGGAACAGGCGAACTGGACGATGGACTTCGAAGTGGCGGACGAGATGAGGGTCGTCGGCAGCGCTGTGATGGGGATAGTGATCTGGATTGCAACGACGCCTCTGCGGAACGTGTCGTGGGCGTTCCTCGACGGAACGATCGAGAACGTACGTGCCATCTACTTTTTCTGGTACACTTGCTGCGATCGCTACTTGGTGACGGCTCGAAACGCCCATGCCGCAGCTGTGCCACCTCCGGAGTACGCGTGCGCGCTAGTAAAGCTACTGTTCTTGGTTCCTATCGCGGTGCTACAGGACTACGAATCCCGCTTTGAGATTACCGGTCGAATGTGCCTTAAGTGGTGTGAGGCGTTCCACCATTCGTGCTGCCTGTACGTTCCAGGGGCAAGTCTTTTGCTATGGAGAACGTCCTGCCGGTACGCTCGTGCCACCAGCGAAGCTGTGGTAGCCGTTGTGGATCGAGTTGGAGATTTTATCGTGGGAAGCTACTTGCTGACATCATTACTACTGTCTATCCTAATCTACCTGGCCCGCCTGGTGTAAGAGAGCATCGAGGGAATACTGTGTGGCTGGATGGGAGTGACGCTGGTTGTGTTGATCGTAGACGTCTACCTGGAGTTTGAAATTGGCTGTTGCTACTGGAACTTGGCTGTGTTAGTTGTCGGTTGCTACAGTTACGTGGTGCAGTATTACGAAGGGCTCCGGCCGAGCGCTATGGACCAGAATGATAAGGCGGCGAGACGCAAGTGGGAAGGACTGGCTGGTCGTATAGAGCGTCGTGAGGAAAGAGAGCGAGCTAGCGTGGAGCGACTGCGAGGCATGCAGGCCGAAGGAACGTCGTCTGGAGTAAGGAACGAGAGTCCTAATGCAAGTGGAACGTCACGTGGGAACGTTCCAGATCTGACTGTGGGAGACACCGTGCGACAGGCTCCGGGCGATGTGGCTCGGCGAGGTCACCGAGCGTCAGTCGGGGAGAATTGTCACGGTGTACAGTTAGACGGTGGATTAACGATGCTGGCTGACTGCCTGCAGAAGGTCTACTCACTCCAGACTCTCCGGACCACGTCCAAGCAAGCGGGACCTGCGGCCAAGACAGTGACGTTCCAAGTGTGAAGTCGTGGAGCAGCTGGTCGTGGCGGAAATTGGAGCTGGACCGCCACGCACGAGGGATCTGACAAAAAGTAAGAAGCTCTAAAAACTCTTAGCGAGGTGAAACGAGGAAGTCAGTCGTGGATTTCCTTCTAACAAGAAACACAAGAATATATCAACTTTTACATTACACAGTAGTGTCGCTAATACTACTACCTCCTACGTCGGCCCAAGATACTCACGACCCCGATTAGAGGAAGACCGCGACACGAAACTCCTGGATTGTACACTCGCGTCGCCCGTGTTCTCGACTACATTGATGATATTTTGAAAGGTGGATCCAATGTGAATGTGACTGCATTGCTGACGGCAGGTGGAAAGACAACGGACGTCCCGGGAGCTGCTCGCTAAAATTTTCATCGCACAAAGGATGCAAGTAAAGGCCAGAAACTCGGTAACGCTAGAATTCATTTTACGTTGCTTTTTTTACAACGTTAGCACGGAAAGTTTGAGCACGGTAGTTAAAGGGTTAAAGGGTAACCCCTTAAATCAACCCTTTTTTACTCGATTTGTAGAATGAGGATGGCTTGTGCGCGAGTAAGCTCGACATCAATTAAAATGCAACGCGCGGCCACTTTGTCGTTTTTATTGGTTTCACATACAACACAGCTCTTTCAAAATGCCATATCGCAACAGCTTCCTCTCCGTAGTCAGCGCCGCCACTAATATGAAGACTCCCCCGTCGTTCTCACTTTGTTCGACTGCCGCAATCGATTCTGCTGCCTCATTTTGTTTCGCCACTTTCGACGGGTTTTGATTGTCAGTACTTTGCCTCGTTACAGCATTCGGTTGAGCTGTGATTGCACTCGCAATTGAAGGGACGGCACATTGCTATCACACCTTGGTTTTCTTCTTGGGGGGAGGCAAGCTGTCAAGCGCATCAAAGCTCAACTCCACCTTCGTGTCCTGCAAGTTGTCGAGATCACGATACGACGTCGAAACCTGGCGAGGATCCACAGGTAGTTCGCTGTCAGGAACACGAGGCGGGCCACCAGACGGAGGTCCGCGTGAGGGCGAGCGGCCGTAGCCACCGCCGTTGAACCGAGAAGGCGAGCGTGGCGGTCGGTCAAAAGAGCCCCGTCGCATCCGATCATCACGCATGGGAGGGCCACGACCCCTGTAGCCATCGTCGCGGTAGAATCCTCGGCCACCTCCGCCAAAATCTCTCTCAGGTCGTCCACGGTAACCGCCGCCATTGCGACCTCCGTTCGATCCTCCCGCTCGTCCACCCAGCACAGCACCACCAGGCATATTGTTGCTAGTCTCAAGAGGAGGCATCGGGTGCTGCTCATCCTCACGGTATTGCTCCCACATGTAGCTCTCGCCCACTTCGGCGATCTTGTCCACCGCCAGCTCCGGGTGTTTGTTACGAATATGCTTCTTGACGAAGTCCATAGCCTTGAACAGCTTCGTACACAGACGGCAACGGTGTTTCCCGTCATCACTGGCCTTCTCGCCATAGTTCGAGTACGTGCTTTCCAGCGCAGCCTCCTCACGAGCTTCAATTTCGTCCACCAGAGCACGATCCTTTGCACGCTTCGCCTCCACAACGTCAGGTGCCAATTCCTTCAGGTACGTCTGCACCTTTTCGTCCAACGCTGCGGCCCATCCACCGATAGCCTTCGCAGTCTCACCAGAAGATCCTGACGCTGTCGTGTCTTTTTCTTCTTCGGTATTCGCAGCGTCATCCTTATTCTCTTCCGTCGAGACGTCAGCCTCTGGCTTCGCTGTGGCTTCCTGTCGAGCCTTTTCTTCCTCGATATCGCGCGCAGAAGGCGGCGGACGACAGAAGAGCGCAGGGTGAGCGTGCATGATGTCACCCATGTCGAGACACTGCACACCTGCATAATAAATATAGTGGTGTACGCGGCGCAAGTATGCCACGACAACGTCCAGCTTCTGTTTATCACTCGAGTAGTTCTGCGTCACTTCTTCGGACGCCAGCAAGGCCTCAATTCCGAAGCGCGTCAGCTTCTCTTTCGTCCCATGGAAGAGACGCGCGTCCAGCGCCTTAGCAAGAGTGAGAGACTGCATAAAGTCGGCAGTCAAACGCTCAGGCACAGACAGGTACGACGGAGTCTTGAGCGGAGCACGCGCGCGATGTGGAGACACCTGGAGACGGAAAGGAGGGAACTGGTTGCCGTCTTCCACAAAAGTGTTGTGGATCTTGGGCATGGCGTCGCTAGCGGCGGCCGCGCTCTCGTAGATGATGTACGCCGAGCGGTCAAAGTCGAACGCGCTCTTCTTGACTGGATCCGACAGGTACAAGTAGACGTAGGGTCCTCCCTGTGATGCAGTAACATGAATCAGTACTATTTCCTATTTCTGTGTGAACATAAGAGTACACGTACGGCCTTCTTGAGGGCTTCACTGAGGGTGCCGACAGGACACGCGCATGGCACGCGACGCACGTACAGCACACGCGCGCTGTTCTCGAGGTCATTGGCAAAGTCTTCGCCTAGCGGGTTCACGCCGTTCTCTGCGGGCGGCTGTTCGTCCAGGCAGATCTTGGCCGCGCCGGACCGCACGCGCTCGCCGAATTGCTTGGCTTCGTTCATCTGCTGTGTGGTCTTTTGCTTCTCCACGCGGTGACGCAGCGCCGGCGAGTAGCGCTCCTGTAGCCACTCGTCGCGCTTGTGCAGCTCGAAGAAGGCGCGCAACACACGCTGCACGTGCTTCTTCTTGTACTCCTCGTAGCGCTGCTGATACACCTCAGGTGGTGACTCGTCCGTTTGACGCATCATCCAGACTTTGTACGACACAAGCGGCTCTGGTAAAGATGACGCACGCGCGTCGCGACGCGACTCGTCGAAGCGCGGGCCAGACTCCCAGTCCCCGCGGCCGCGACGAGGGCTGCGACTGCGACTACGGCCACGTGGGCCGCGGAATCGCATGTCGTAATTATCGCGACTGTCACTACGGCGACGGAAATCGTCGCGCGGACCATACGGACCGGTTACAGGCGGGAAATCCTCGCGCATCGGCGGCTCCGCCTGCGGTTAGTATGAGACGTTAAAGGCTGCAGGTGTGTTGTAGAGGGAGAGGAAGGTGTGGGGGCAAGCAGGGACTCACCATCGTGGGTCTACTGTCCGAGAGAAAGAGTTGCGCTCACGTACGAGCGCAAGGAAACTCTTGCGACGTAGCTGGTGATTTGAAGACTGAGGCGCCTCCACCAAGTAGTAAGCGTACCGATAGTATGGTACACTGTACCGTTTAGTGGCTAAATTTGTGTGGACCAGTATTACCGGTAAAAGGTTTGAGCGTGCCAAAACCGGTTGCGAGTTTATTACATTGCTACACTTCGGCGGAGCCGCGGTTGGCATTGGCCTTTTGGCTGCGTGGAGATCCTGCAGTCTCGCCGAAGGTAAAGTCTTCGGCGGGTGGCTCACTGCTGCCAACGGAGATGGCGCCGGTGGCGAAGAGGATGTCGAAAACGATGCACACGGACACCAGGAACATGGTGACGATGGCGGTAACGATGTTGGAGCACTGGAACCTGCATACTTCCTCCAGCAGGATCATGATGTCCTTGTCCACTCCTGAGCACACGGCCGTGCCTACCGGTGCGGCTGCAACGGCCACAGCGCTTGCGAACGAGAACATGAGCCACACCGAGTCGAAGATCACGAACGTTCGCACTTTCGGCTGACGGAGCTTGCGGACGTCGAAGACCAGCACGCGAACGGTAAACATAACGACCACCAAAGCTCCAATGGTCATGAGGAAGTAGACCTGTGTGCCGGACCGGAACATCTCTTGTCCGTAGTCGCAGCTCTTGACGCCGCCGGAACCAGCCGTTCCTGTAGCGATCAGCGCGAGGAGAATCGTCAGCAGACGGACCATCATAGGGATACGCTCGTGCACCATCTTGGATCTCGTGTGCTGGATTAAGTCGCGGTGGTTTCTGCGGTGAGAATTCTTAAATGAAGCTGTGGCTACTGCATACCTTCATGCTACTAAGAATACACTATGCGATCGTACGAACTGCACTTGGCAAACGAATCGCATGAGAGACGGCAATGATTTTTTCTCGTCAGGATATTTTTACGATTCCAGTTTTCAAGGTTGTTTTAAGGCGAAGTGTCTATTTGTGGAAAAATTACCATGCTGGGACTTCGTTGAAAGAGAACAAGCTTGTACCATGTCAACTCAACTGAGAGCCAAGACGACTGGGTTGGTCATTGATGAACGTCCTGAACGTACAGACTCCCCTTCGCAAAGTGATGACGTAGCGTCTTCATACGATAGCGAATACGACGACGATGAAAGCGATTACGAAGACAGCGACTCGGATGAGGAAAGCGACGATCAACCGGTGCTCGGTCCGTTGCAGCGCCTCTCAAATGCTCTGAGATTGAAGCAGCAACATTTGCTCGCTAAGCGACGTCATCCAGTGCTTGAATGGAAGGCAGACGCTCAATGGCACGCCGACAATGCAGCAGGTCGGGCAGCTGCCGCGCAAGAACAAAAGCGCCGTGAAGAGGTGACAGTGGAGAAGAAAGCGCGTCGTGAACGCAAGGTGAAGCGCAAAGCTCAGCGTCACTTCACCAAGCAGAAAGAGAACGAGTTTCGCACTCTTCTGGAGGACTACAACGTAGCCATCATCAAAAGCAAGAAGCGCACTGAACTACTGACGCAGTTTTCTATTGAAAACCGCTCCATTGAGAAGCGAAAGCTTGCTGCTATTGAGGCTGCTAAGCGTGTAGATCAGTTACGCGACGCGGCTGACAAGATAGCGCAAGCGGAACAGCGTGATGAAGAGGAAAAGCAGCTTACGCTTAACAGGTTACAGCTCTGCATCGATACCTCCAATGACATGGGGAGGCGATATGGATTACTCCCCGCTATCAACACGCCCACAGCAGCAGCACCAGACGAGCAGGGTGAGACGTCCACCGTGATGATACTTCGAGTCAACCATGCTCCAGTCACAAGCGATGGCGACTTAAGTCGCACACCAGGCCCATCAATGCTGTCAGCAAAGAGACAGTACTTTACGCTCAACTTGAAGCGTTGCAAACATGTCGAAGAACTCCGAGGCGAGAGGATTGGCGATCGAGGGGCAAAGGAGCTGGCTCGGTCTTTGCTAACGGGCGCATGTCCACGCGTTCGCAGCATTCATCTAGGGTGGAACCTCGTCAAGTATCCTGGGATAGCGGCGCTGGCGGATTGCTTTACTCGTGGTGCGTGTGCTCAGCTCCAGGAGCTTGATTTGCGGTGCAACAATATCGATAGCAAGGCCTTCGCGACGCTACTCACCGCTTTAGAAAAGGGAGCATTGCCAGAGATACTGGACATCGGGTTACAGGGCAATATTTTGGGTGATGGAGGCGCTCGTGCACTTGCACACGCGTTTTTCAGAGGTACACTTCGTGGGTTACGACGAGTTGATATACGCCAGAACAGAATACGCAATGACGGCGTTCTGGCACTCTGGAACGTGTTCACGGCTCCTAACTTCCGGAGGTTTTGTCCAAAGCTTGAACTCCTGGATATGCGTCGGAACGATGCGCACGGGGCACTTACAAGGTCGTTTTGTCCGTGTCCTCCTTACCTCACATTTTGAATTTAGATTCATTCTACACAGTTGGTTTCGTGTACTTTTTGTTTCGAGAGTTTGAGATCGCGAAAGCTTTTACATGAACGAGGCCGACGCATTCTTGAGCTCTTGCGTCCTGGGAGAGGAAAGTGACGTGAACAGGTTGAAGCAAACACGTAACAAGCACCAATACTCACACGCTGCGAATAAAGAGTGCTTGGTTGATTGTTGATACTGATTCGGGCAGGCGCAGTGTTGGTTTTTCAATCCCAAGATTTAGTAGCGCTAGAAGCCACGAGGTTAGTTCGTTTAAAGCTGCGCAAGTATTATTTGCTGCTCAAACCTTGATCATATTGCTCCGTGGTGATAAATCCTAGCTCTTTGATGTCGAAAGCAGCGAACATCACCTTGAGATCGTTCTCCTCGAAGAAGGGGACCTAGTTCGGAGTAGACTCAGGTCAGCTTGTGTATACAGAATTGACAGCATATGGTCTTACGTGACGTTGCTCTTGCTTGGCTGTTCGCATTTCGTCAAGCTGCTGAATGAGGAACTCGCGAGGGTTGGAAGGTCGGTGGTAGAGGAGAAGCGTTCCCAGGCCCTCGAAAAGCTCCTTGATGCCGTGTGAAGCCATATACAGCTCCGCACGAACCTTGGGGTCCTTCGTGTTGGCTTCGGGAAGCATCAAGCTCGTTTGTCGTGCCGACGACATCGGTATTTTCGCAGCGCGGCGATTTCTACGAAGTATTACTTCAGTAAAACTCCCAATAGACACTTGAAACTAACAATCGCATTCCAATAACAATTAATCGTCCTCTATATGTGTAACGATAAATTCATCACACACCGGTAAAAGACGCAACAAACATTACTCCTTTTTAAAAGGACTGAGGTCAGCATAGCATTGCTCGAACATCTTGTCAACCTCATCATGCGCCTCCGCAGGGAACATGGACTACAGGAATAATATCAGCAAATAGTCGTGGTGCTACAATCCAACAGATCTAAAAAAACGGCTTACACTCGTAGATCGAACAGCGTGTTCACGAACACATCGCGAGTTGAGCCAGCGAGCACTCTTCTTGAAGAACTCGACGTCCGGCAGCACAGTCTCCAGTAACTTGGCTTTCTGATAACACTCGGACTCACGCGCCGATCGGATCTCACTACAATACGACGCAAACATAGTCAGCATCCCTACTGGTGTTTTGTCAGCTGGAGGGGGGCCCACCTGCAGGCCAAGATGTCCGACTTGGTGATGTCCATCTTGCGCACAGTAAACTATAACACATATATCGTCAACAAATCGCTGATCTAAAGCTTCAACTTATAATCCAATCAGCGTACATCGTAGGCGTGGATAAGCTCATGTACCATGGTCTCCTCCACCTCCCGCACGGAGTGCAGGCGGTTGGCACAGAAGACGACGGTGGGTGGTGGCGCCGAGAAGAAGGCGCGGGCGTTGCCCTCGGGGCCTACACAGTAAAGTATGAGACTCTATACAGCACAGCTTTAGCGTGGTACAATTTTTACTATAAAACGCACCGTCATCACGGCAATCGAGACACACAAAGTCAATGGCGGGCACGGCGCTCTTGCCTTCACGATGTTGTTGGGCCAGGAACTAGAGATTTTAAAATCCTCAGCTCGTTAGCGATTTATATTCAAATACAGAAGATTAATGCCTCTCGCCTGCCTTGTTGATGATGCCCACAATGTGCTGTGGCCGTCGCTGCTGCAGCGCCACCTGCACGGCGTCCTCGCACTCATACAGCTCCATTTTTCGTTGTCTAAATCTTCTCTGTCCAGCAGGAAGAGTCGCGTATCGTACAAATTGTAACATGATGAGACATAACTACAGGACATCAATAAATGATGTTTTGTACACAATTTGTATGTGCACCACATATCATTAAACTTCAATTTGGAATTGTCAGCATTTTCGAATCTGCCCGCAATGCGCTTCGATCAACGTGGTGTGTATCGAGCTCTGCCTCTTACTGAGCTCTCCTTCCTCTGACGGGGCCTTTAAATGCAGTGGCAATCGTCACGGGTGCTGGCAACGGACTGGGCCGCGCCTACGCCGAGTATCTGGGCAAACTCGGCGCCAACGTGCTGGTAAACGATCCACAAGCATCTGCAGCTGATGACGTCGTGCAGCGTCTTGGAGGAGGCGGCAAAGCTGTAGCCAACTATGATAGTGTCGTAGAAGGACACAAAGTCGTGGACGCAGCGCTGCAAAAGTGTAAGCGCAGAGTTAACTGCGATGACTTTCCGAAGACTAACTTTGCACACAAATTAGGGGGCCGCGTGGACATTCTCGTGAACAATGCGGGGATCATCCAGGACAGTTCGTTCGCCAAGATGGCACAACAGCAATGGGACGATGTGTATAAAGTTCATTTAGAAGGAACCATGAGGTGAGGCAGCTTTGCAAAAGAGTAAATGGGGTAAGCTCCTCACCAGGTAGTCTGTAGAATGACCAAAGCGTCGTGGGGCGTCATGAGGGAGCAGGAGTTCGGACGCATTGTCAACGTGGCGTCGGCCTCTGGATTGTATGGGAACTTTGGACAAGCCAACTACTCAGCCATGAAGCTGGGTATTGCTGGGCTCACGTTCACTCTGTGCAAGGAAGGCTACAAGCGCAATATCATGGCGAACGTCGTGGCTCCGTTGGCCAAGTCTCAGATGACCGATGGACTCTTGGAGAAAGAGTTGAACGACAAGTTGACGCCGGAGAGCGTCGCTGCTTTCGTTGCGTGAGTGTAAAATACCGTTTTTCCGATAGAACGTGTCAAAGATAGAATGGATTGGGTTTGGATACGCATTGTTAATGACGTGTATCGTGCAGGTATCTGTGCCATGAAACCTGCGATCGGACGGGCAATGTATACGAAGTGGGGGGCGGTTGGGTGGCTCAGACGCGATGGCAACGGTCACGCGGTGTCGTCTTTCCTAAAGATGAGCTCACTCTCGAGAAAATCGCATCGCAAATTGATGAAATCGAGGTGCGTGGGGTGTGCTGGCTCCGCAGGTCCGTTGCTAACGCTCGCTACATTTGTCTCCAGAATTTTGATGCTGAGCCGACACGGTACCCGAGAAGTCTACAGGATACGATCGCCTACCTCCAGAGTATTCTAAAGTGAACGATATCATAGTCACATTGCCTGGTTTGTCTCGTAACAAAGGGCGTTAGTGCGCTGATAATCAAGACGAAATAAACGATCCTATCAAGCTAATCAATGGGTGAGTCTAGTCCAACGGTGCTGAGTTGTGGCTTGCAAAAGAGTGCTCGTGCTACATTGGTTACATTTGAATAATGGTTAACAACGATTTTCTCTAGCCGCGAAAGCCTCGACTAATTGCTGCGGCCATCCATTCCATGTCGATCTACTGGCTACTGGTGATGTCACCATCAGCGGCACCAACTAATTTACCTTGTCAACGATGCGCTAGACTTAAGATTAGTCTAGAAGCTCCTTCCCATTGCGTGGAAAGCTACATGTTGTGCCGAATGTAGGCCTGTAGCTACCTGATTTCTGCTGGATTATCATACACACACTCGCCTACCAAACCCATGATTCGACGTTGCTGTCTATTATAATAATTCTAATCGTCAGATGGAAAGGCTGAACTTTGCATCATATTAACAGGAGCACCAATGTAGCATTGTCAATGTCACACGCAAGAGTACATATTTCTACGATCCACTTCAGTGAGCCGGGGGCGTGGGGGTATGAACAAACTTACAAGATTTGCTTTTTCTAGCAGAACGAAGATCAAACAGGCTTCGATTACGCTACATTGTGTTTGGAGCGCGCCGTCAGGGCCCTGTATTTTAATTGTACATATATAATACTACTTTGTAATATTCTCCCGTCTAGGTTGCACACAGGTAGACTGCGTGTGCGGTTGTAGATCGTATACACTGTGCTCAGCAGCAACAGCAACCAAATCGCTTCTATACTCCTACGCAAAGCTCAGCGCTACTTCCTGCCAGGAGCGGCGCTGATTACAATGACTACATGTCGAATTCGGCGCCCACCTTTGATCATCTGTAGATCCGGACAAGATAGGCCCACACATGCTCGACGATCTGTCCCGCCTCATCGATGTGCATTCTGAAGTTGAAGATCGCGACGACAACGCCGGCAAACCAACAATCGGACGCGCTCAAAGAAGCTGACCTCGGCTCGGGCTAGCTATCGCCCCCGCTCACAGCGTAATTCACCAACGACACCAAGATCCATTTTCCATTTCGTCTGCTGGGTGTCAGCTCTTGGGGTTCTAGGAAAAATGACCTACGTGATCGCGTGGTATGGATTGCTTTTTCTGTTCGGTACTGCAACTTCGTCCACACAAGAATTCGGGTTGCACAACAATTCCATATTGACTGCAACAGCTTCCAGCGCAGCACAACATCCCAACTACTCTACACCGGGTACAACGGAGCTGCCATCGATACTGACGAATAGCCTATCAGCATCCTCTTCGACGTCTTGGAGCGAGTCCGGTTCAGCGTCGGAATCAACGAATCCTAGGCAAATCTCAATCAATTCGGCAACAACCGCTGTCAGTACATTCGAGTCAACCTTCAAGAACTGGGTTGGCCCAGTGAAGAGACCTTCCGATACAGCGTGTTACCGTGAGGCGCATATCGGTAAAACGTGTCCACTCGAATTCAACAGTAAGTGGGACACGTGTTGGGCGCAATGTCCGATCGACTTCCCCGTCAAGTGTGGCATGGAATGCATCCGACAGAATGATGACTGCAAACTCGAGATCGTGACCAAGACGGCGTATGTGTTTCAATCAGTGATGGCGCTCTCTCTTTTTAATTTATACGGAGAGTTCAAGCTGATGGCCAAGGCTGTTCGAACTGCTTTTAGATGCGCCAAAGAGATGGCAAATCTGGTGAAGCACCTCAGCAAATTCGTGCGTAACATCATGGTAACAGACCCGCAAACAACTCAAGAGAAAGCGCTGGATGTATTGTACCAAACGGACAATGTGGTCTTTGATATCCCAGTCACAATCGCGGAATGCATGGGTATCGTCGTCAAGGCCGACCCCATCCGATATTACGACAAAATAACAAACACGGCCGAGTTAATCTTACGACAAGTGATGGCCGACAAGGAATCAATTCTCGAGAGCTGGGACTCGTTCAAGACTTTTATGAAAAAAGTTGCGCTTGGCGAGTCGATTTCAGATCTGAAAAGCTCCGAGATCACGTCGCTACAGCGAGCCATGAAGTCCGACTCAACCTGTGGCTACGATATGAAGCGCATTGCCGACCGCACATGGATGACTGTCTTATCTCTTCGCAACCAGAACCCTCAAATGTCTGAAAATGAACTTCGTGTCTACATGAGCAAATCACACCTTGTGTTGCACGATATCCCAGTTGCAACCAACAATTGTATGGATGAGCTGATTGCTGAATCAGGTGAAGCCAAAGCTTATCAGACTCGAAATATGCTACGAACGACGTTAGGAGTTATAGTGGAGGACCTTATCAAGTCGGGGACAAGTAGTAACGGCACGTACCTGACTGCTGAGCACTACGCGTACAAGATTGCTGACAAGGCTGCTTCTTTTTATGGTGTATGGGACATCAAGGGCATCGGCAACGTAATCGGTGAATTTCTCCAGACAATCTGCGGACCGACGAAGTTTATCGGAGAAATTGATGATGGCCCTGCCAATAATTCGCTAGGACTGAAAACGGATGGCAAGGCGTTCAAAGGCAGTTCTGGACGTTGGTCCAAGGAAGGCGATGGGGTAGTCACCTTGACGTTCCAGAGTGAAGATACAAAGGATGTGACCGTAAATATTCACTCCGGTGGTGGCAAAATCGACGAGGTAGACGTGTCCAGAGGTTGCTCTGCGACTTGGACCTCCAACGTGACAGCTTTGGGAGGTAAAACACTTTACTTGGATCGTTGGCGACCAGGCTTTCTGGGTCTTCCTGGCACAGGAGGCGGGTCGTTGGTACTTTGGACACCTCAAGCTACGGAAAGCGGGGGTCATTTGAACTTGAAAGTGAAATTAAACGCTAGCTAGACAGTGTCTAGGAGACACGATGTAATTGTAAATTAACAAATACAAAACCCATTTGCAGTATATTTGCTGACGAGGAAAAATTTAAGGGGTCGCGCAGCGCTGTGGCGCACACCACTTCGGACTTGCTCGTTGTAGAATTGAAGCGAAAACACATAAAAATCAAAAAGAAGGCCACTTATCATCAGGATTGCAATCGAAAATTCCTCCCTGTTTATGGCTTAGTGCAGCCTGTTGGCTGGCTGAGTCGCCCCGCCACGTAAAGCTCAATTATCAATACATGTACAGAACGTTAAAACGCAGGCAAATTCTTGTTTCTTCTAATTGCTCGTTGACATGAGTGTAGCGCTAATTGTTTTTATAAAAAATCGTAAAAATAATTTTTAACCTAGCCCTTAAAAGTGTTTCTGTGTCGCAAAAAGCAAGATCAATGACAGCAACGCTATTAAAGACCGCACAACATCAAATGTCTGTGCCACCATCTTTGCACTTAGCGATCGTCTGTCCCTCACGATCGATTTTGTTACAATCACACATCATCTTACTATATTGTACTACTGTACATGTACGCTCGTGCAAAATTTCTGAGCCGGGATGATGTCGCCAGTCGACATGCACTGCGGCCTTACTACAGTACTGTAAATGTACATGTACCACAGATCAGAAAGACGTCTCCTAAATGAAACTTGCGGAAAGATATCCTGTCGTACACACATATAATGCAAGTCCAGGAATTACAATGGACAAACTTGATATGAAATTCCAAGGACATTTTTTGTTTACAAAGTGTTACAGGTATAACAAATGAACGAAAAGGAGAAGTACCGACAAAAAAATTATTAAATAAAAGTAAATACGCTGCATGTTTCCCAATAAATGTGCAGCCATTTTTTCTATATATGAGCACCGCAAATTTTGCCACTCTATTTTTGAAGTGGTATTAATATAGCATTCCCCAAGAAGTGAGTGTCTTTGTGTCGAAGTCGAAGCACCATCTTGGCTACGCCGCACTTGCGACGAACTCGCAGATATGGACGCAAATGAGACCACAGGATCTACAGCAGGCAATAGCAAAGATAAAGAGACTGTGAAGGTGGTGGTGCGATGTCGACCACTTTTTGGCAAGGAACTCGTCGAAGGCAGAAAGTCGATTGTAACTTTGGATCAAGCGGCAGCCTTAATTTCGCTCAAATGCCCCGATAATGGCCAGATCAAGTCCTTCACGTTCGATTCGGTTTACGATGAAAACACTTCACAGCGGCAATTCTACGATGAGTCTGGGTACCCGTTAGTAGAATCAATCTTCGACGGCTATAATGGCACAATATTCGCGTACGGACAAACAGGTTGTGGCAAGACCCATACCATGCAGGGAAAGGATTCCCCTCCAGAACTACGTGGTGTCATTCCACTATCTTTCGATCATATTTTCGATACCATCAATGCAGATACAACGAGGGAGTATATGGTTCGAGCGTCGTATCTTGAAATCTACAACGAAGACATTCGCGATTTGCTCAATGATGACGCCAAGAAGAAATTGGACTTGAAAGAGTCGGCAGATGGAATTGTATACGTAAAAGATCTTACCGAAATTGTCGTAAGGGATGTAGAGTCGATGAACAATGTCATGAGTCGAGGATTTAAGAACCGGACTGTTGGAGCTACGCTCATGGTACGTACTGTCTTACACGCGGGTAAAAAAATATAGAGTGGCTACTCATTTTGAGGGTTCCTTAACAGAATGAAGGCTCGTCCCGATCTCACTCCATTTTCACAGTAGTAGTGGAGACAAGCGAAACGATCGGAGGGCAAGATCACTTCAAAGCTGGCAAGGTACGTTTTCACTTACTGCATTGTTGACATTGTACTTTTATTCTAAATTTTGGTTCTGTAGTTGAATTTGGTCGATCTAGCAGGAAGTGAACGTCAAAGTAAAACGGGGGCTACGGGCAATCGCCTTAAGGTATCGTTGCGTTTGAGAAAGTCAAGAATTCGATGTCTTACTGATATTTTGTGTTACGAACTCAGGAAGGATGTAAGATCAACTTGAGTCTGTCAGCTCTGGGTAACGTCATATCGGCGCTTGTCGACGGCAAGGGCAAACATATTCCGTACCGAGATTCAAAACTTACACGACTACTGCAAGATTCCTTGGGTGGTAACACCAAGACGCTCATGGTGGCAGCAGTAAGTCCGGCAGATTACAACTACGACGAAACCCTCTCCACTCTACGGTACGCGAATCGCGCCAAGAACATCAAGAACAAGCCCATTGTGAACGAAGACCCGAAAGACGCCAAGCTGCGCGAATACAAGGAAGAGATCGAGCGGTTAAGAAAAATGCTTGAGTCTCAGACACAGACAGGTACCAATGAGTTGGGTACATTGAGTAGAATAGGGACCCCCCTACGTCCGCTCTCGAATAGTAACAGCGTCGAGCTGGTAAAAGAACGCCAAGAGATTGCAAAATACCAACAAGAAGCGGCTGAAATGCTCGAGAAGGCCAAGAGAATGATGGACGAGGCCAAAGCTTTACAGGCTCAGAATCAAATGCAGCAACCGGATCCAGCAAAGGATCCAGAACTTGTTGTTCAAAAGCAGAAAAGTTCAAGTGTATTGGGCAATTTCCCACCTCTCCTGGGTCTTTTCAGTAAGCAAGAAGCTAAGCCCGACCCAGTGGCAACCACAACATCAACGCTTGCTGTTGAAGACCCAGCTATTAAACAAGTCATGCACGAAGCCTCTCAGATTGATGCACAAGCGAAGGAGATGATGGCAAAAGCTGAAGCCATGATGAAAGAAGCTGCTCAACGACATATTGCTCAACAGGTTGAGGTTGTAGTTAAAGAAGTGATCCCAGACTCGCATGTGAAGGAGCGTGACGAGCTTCGCGAGCTGAATCAAGCGATTCTAAACCAGCGAGATCGAATCGGCCAAGAGCTCGAACAAACGCAGGTAACGATGGAGACTTATCTGCGTGAAAAGGAGATGCTACACGCCAAGCTAAAGAAGATCGAGAGCCATATCCTCGGTGGCGCATCAGGGTCGTCGTCCACGCGTGGGGCTGCGAATGGTCATGATGCGGACTCGGAGGTGGCTTTACTGAAGCAGCAAGTGGAGTATCGTCGAGCACAGATCAAACTACGCGAGAAGGCCAAGAAGCAAGCCAAAAACGAGGCCATGCGACGAGCTCTCGAGCTGGAAAAGCAGCAAGTCGAGGAAGAGTTGAAGACAGCACAAGAAGCGGCCCAAGCGAGTTTGGCTGCAGCGCGCAAGAAGGAGGCCAAATTCAAGGCCAAACTGGACGCCACGCGACAAGAAATCGCTGATCTTAACAGCGAGTTTGAACGCGAGCGAGAAAACTTGCTGGACACTATTCGAGAGCAGACGAAAGAGGCGAAGCTACTGGAACAACTAGTTGAACTTTTCTTACCGCAGAATGAACTGGTGAAAGTGTGGGAGCGAGCGGTGTGGAGTGAAGAGAGAGAGGAATGGAACCTGCCAAAGCTGAAACCTCGAAGTGACTTCCACATGATCAAACTCCCGACACTTGGAGGCGCTGGGATTGAGTCTGGCGGGGCAGAGGTGGTGATAGAAGAGGAGGCAAACGGTCGACAAAGTAGCGCGGGAACTGCAACTGTGCGCTCATTGGGGTCTTCGTCAAGTACAAAGAGGAGAAAGAGTCGACCATCCTCACAGAGTGTCGGAGTTATCAGCCCCTACGAAGAAGGAGTGACAGGTCAAACGCCAGCTACTACAGCTCGACTCCCGAGCGCTGTTCACACCAGTCGACCTGACAGTAAAGCGGCTTTAATCGCAAGAGGAGTGAGTCCACACAACAGCTCGAATGGCAGTAAAGAACGTCGGAAACTCAAGGAGAAAGACAGGGGTTCTGGCACTGCTGGATCAACGCACCAGCGTCAACCTCAAGACCAGGAACCTCAACTCGCTAGTGCGTATGAAGCTCCAGGAGCAAGTCACTACTTCCCGGGAGAGGAAGATCTGCTTACTCCTCTATCAGGAGAATATCCTCGCGATCGATTGCAGTCTCGTCAAGGTTCTCGACAGGAATCGCGACAACGCAGTGGGAGCGTCAGTGGGAATTCCAGAGCAGGCATGGGGCAGTTAGAGCACACTCCACCGGCCGCTACAGTGGAGAAGACACGGTCTACAAGTCGAGGGGATAACGGAAGTCGACAAGGAAACCATCGGCATCGCAAAGACCGAAAGGAGCGACAAGAAGATGACAGTGCAGCAGGGATTGAATGGGTCGAGACGAATGAAGCTCCGACCACAAAGAAGAAAAGCAAACACTCCAAGAAGAAGAAGGAGCGTCGCGACAAGGCAGAAAACGGCGACGTAGCAGCAGATTCAGTCAACGATCACAATTCGTCCCAGCGTCGACCTTCGTTTCGATGTGCATCCGACCCCCTTTCGACACAATAAATGAAAAAAAAGGTTTCTGATTGCTGGGTATTTTGCCTAAATGTGTCGACATTAAATTGTCCTCAACGCTTAGCTTTTCGCTGCGATGTTGCACTCGCTTGCTGCCTCATCTTCTTCTGAGCTTGGAAGAATGCCAACGAGTCGGGATCCTGAGCTCGGATGCGTTCGACCTCCATTTGATCGAACTTCTCACCGTCATCCAGGAAATCGTCCTTACTAAAGGCAGGTCTTGCGTAAGCGTCAAACGCACCACTTTGGTTCTTACTAAGAGCGTGTGCGCGTCCTTCGTCCTCGTACCAGTCCTCGAATTCCCGCACCAGTCGTCGTCGTAGAAGCTCGACACTGCGAAGAGCAAATTCCAGCTCAGCCTTAGCGTCTTTGAGGTCTCCAAAAAGCGACCGGTAGTCTCGTTTAGCCTCTCGCTCAGCTGTCATAAGGATGAACTCTTCTTCATCGACAACCTCGTCACGCTCTTGCACCTGCTTGACCGCGCCCTTACGCTTCGCAGCATCAAAAGCTCCTCGTTGGTTGCGTTTGTCTTCGAGTTGTGCACGGACAGAATCGATCTGAGCTTTGGCAGCATTCACACGGCGTGTCACCTGTTTAACACGCTGTTTAGCGTCGAATAACTTGTCCTTTTCGGTCTGTAGATTCTGATAAAGCTTCCTCCCAGGTCCTGCAGATCGGTAGAACTGGAACGCATTGTTTTTCTCGACATCTTGCGACGTAGGAACATCCGTTCCAGCTTCGTAGAGTGCTGTATCATCTCCACGAACATCTTCGTTGTTGTCCGAGATGCCTGGCAGCGCTACTCCACTCGACGATAGCGAGGCTGAAGGACCATTAGCAGTCTGCTTGGCGCTACTTGCTCCTCCCCCACGAGGGTTTTTCTTGCCAGTGTCCATAGTAGAAGGTCGTGCAGCACCTGACACGAGACCGATAGGGAATCCCAGAGCTCCAGGTTCCTCTTCACCCACCAGTTCTTCACTGTTAGCGTCATGGATCTGAAGGTCCTTTCGAGAGCCAAGTGAAGTCTGAACTCTCGACGCTGACGACCCAGCAGACCCGGCTCTTGTTGAAGTGCTGGGGTGTCTGGAGTTACCATGAGAGCCTGACCCGTTCTCCCTAGACGCTGTGCTTGAACTCAGTCCTTCGCTCTTAAAGAGTAGCTTGAATTGACGAAAGAGCTCGCGGATTTCGTGGACGCTCGTCAGTCGCAGAGCTTCGTCTTCCATCTCTTGCGTCGGTGCGTCGATGTAGCGTCGTATCACTTGCTGTAGCTGGTGTTTCTGCTCTGGCGTGTGCTCATCATAGACCACAGCTGTACGCTCTACTAGTGCGTCGTGCATAACCAATTCGTGCTTAAGGTCACGAATCTGTCGCTCATATTTACGAAGCAATAGAGCTGGATCGGTCTCCACGATGGTGGCTACTTCGTTATGTACTCGCATCATTCGTTGCGCCAACTTAAGCGTTGAGATGGTTTCCTCAAGATGACGTCCCTCACCCCAGATACAAGCAAACATGAGTGTATTCGAGTTGCCTCCAAGCGAGTCTTTGAGGACGTTCGTGAGCTTCGTCTGACGGTACGGAATATGGCGTGGTTCTCTGGAGCCCAAGGCCACGATGCATTGCTCTAGAAAACTCAAGCTCTGGTTGATATACATGGACTCTTTCTTGATCGTAGACATCGTGGAGTTCACTCTAGACGAAGCTTTCGTGGGGCTTCCGGTTAGCTCGCTGTCGAACGTTTTCTTCAGTCTCTCACTCCCGGCAAGATCCACGAGATGGACTTTGCTTAGTGTAACGCGTTCAGTGCCCCCAGCTCGGGATTTCTGAGCGATGTGGAAGGTCAGTACACAATGGGAACGATTCGAGCGTTTGTTCAGTTGATGCTCAGCTACAGTACGTTGCAGTTCACCGTTGAAAAGCTGGTCCAGAGCCTCCTGTTCACTACGTACTTCCACCTGCGTGAGACCACGCACATACGTCCCTCGTGCGTCCTCGACTACCACGAGTTCTCCGCTGCCTCCTCCATTGCGATCACTTTGTTGTCCTTCCAACAGATCGAAGATGCGATCGTTGTAGATCTCCATGTACGACGCACGAACTGTGTACTGCAGCTCGATACGGTTTTCCACCTCCTCGAACAGCTGCGCAATAGCGCGCGGTGCAATGCCTCGATGCTGGTAATTACGTGTATCTCCTATCATCGTGAAGCTCTTGCCCGCTCCTGTCTGTCCGTAGGCCAGGATGGTGCCGTTGATACCGTCCACTACTGCGCCATGCACAATGTCGCGTGCGATGGCCTCGTACACGCGGTCTTGGCCGGCATTGTGCAGCACCTGGTGGAACTTGAACTGCCAACAATCCTTGCGGTTCGATGGCCCAGCGTCGGTTTTGGGTGGTGAGAAGCCGCCAGAAGCTGCCGCGAGGGCCGCCGAGCCACTTAACACGGTGATCGTGCTGTCATCGGGGTCGATCTGCAGCTGGTGTGTGGCAAAACTCGCTGTTGGCCGCGTGCGAATGATCACCTTAACGCCATTGCGACCCATTTTCCACGTAACTGAGCACTACGGGCGCAGTCGTTTCTGAACCATTATGGCAACTTCAACTACCGGTATCAATAGATGTAGCCATATCGCTTTTGACAAGATAGCAGTAAAACCTTCTAACGTTTTTCGTAACATAGCGGAAATGGGAATATCATTTCAACACAGCGAGAAAGCCGTGGTGGTAAGCTTCTTCTCCTCATGCATTTAAGGTGCATTTTAAGCTCTCTTGTTTTTCTTCTTCTTGTTACGTCGCTATCTCAGAGCAGACACAGTCAAGTCTTCTTTACCAAATGACGCACTTCTTCTCGGGGTTCATGGGGGTCCCCACAGGGCACGAGAACGCCTTGGCAAACTTGTCGTAGTTCATCAGTGGGCCGTTCACACGCCACTTCCCAGGCGAATGAGGGTCGATCGTTCGCAGCAGCTCTGCGTAGCCAGGTGAGCGCTTCTCGCACCAATTCTGGGCAAAAGCCGTAAAGAACAGCTGATCATCGGCCACGGGGTCACTTGACTGCACCATAGCACGAGCTAGCTTCTGGACCATAGTGTGGAGCCTCGCGTCGCCGCTTGAAAACGGATACTTGCTTTGTAAGAGCTCCCAGTCCTTGTCCCCGTGATGTTTGTGCTGGTGGCGGTGTCGCTCGTGCTTCTCTCGTCCACAATCGCATTCCTCCCAACGTTCTTCTCGTTCTTCTCTATGATGTCCAGTCTTCTTTTCGTGCTTGTGGTGCTCACTTTCCTCCTCATCTTCATCCCAGTGGCGCTGATGCTTGCCGCAACGACAGTCACGATCATCTTTATGACCATGGTGCTTCTCTCCATGACTTCCTCTGTCCTCCGCTTCTTCGTCGCGACGGTGACGATCTTGATGTCGTTCATGCTCGTCTTCGTGTGCACCATGACCGGGTTTACCCTCGCTTTTGTGCTTTTCGTGATAGTGCTTACCACCTTGATCACTGTCGTCCTCGGGACGGTGCTTCTTGTCATGATGGCCATCAGATTCGTCCTCACTCTCCGAGTCTTCACGATGTCGCTCCTTCTTCGTGCCCTCTTTGCCAGTTTTTTCATGCTCTTTCTTCAAATTCCCGTCTTTGTCATGTTTGTCTTGGTTAGGTTCGCCAGTTGAGTGCTTCGCCTCGTCCTCTTTCGACTCCGATTTGTCATGTTTCTTGTCTTTTTCAGAGTCACTTTCTGAATGTTTATGCTTCTGCTCCTCTTTTTCCTCCGTGTGCTTGTGCTTTGAGGTCTCGTCAGGGGTTGCATCACTCGGCTTCGGCTGTGGCGGTGGCACAACTGCAGGCGGTTGTGTCGGTACGGGCGGCGTCGGGATGTCAGGCACATTAGGAGGCGTCGGAGTGTGCGGCACATCAGGCACAACGGGCGGCGTCGGGATGTCAGGTACATTAGGAGGCGTCGGAGTGTGCGGCACATCAGGCACAACGGGTGGCGTCGGGATGTCAGGTACATTAGGAGGCGTCGGAGTGTGCGGCACATCAGGCACAACGGGCGGCGTCGGGATGTCATATACATTAGGAGGCGTCGGAGTGTGCGGCACATCAGGCACAACGGGTGGCGTCGGGATGTCAGGTACATTAGGAGGCGTCGGAGTGTGCGGCACATCAGGCACAACGGGTGGCGTCGGGATGTCAGGTACATTAGGAGGCGTCGGAGTGTGCGGCACATCAGGCACAACGGGTGGCGTATCAGGGACATTGTGGGGAGTAGGCACTGTCGGTGGAGGTGCAGTCACAACTGGAGCTTCCGTAGCTGGTTGTGTCTCCGTCGGGGCAGGCGTTTGCTCTGGATACGGCAGCTGCGGAGCGGGTGAGTTCTCGTCAGGAATCACTTGTCCCGGTTCGACATCCGTTGGCTGCGGTGAAGTAGGTACAGGGATCTCTCCACTTGGTTCGGTCTGCGCCGGCTCAGGTGCTTCAGGGACAGGAAGGACTGGAGGGGGGGCGGTCAGTTGCGGCACTGGCGGTTCTACCGGAGGCGCTGGAGTCTCGTGCGGAGGTACGACCGGAGGCGTCGCAAATGTATTTTTCCAAAGTTGATAGGCTTCGTACGCGAGGTGGATGCCTCCATTGTCAGCGATATTCTCGCTTAGTGTCAGGTTTCCATTCACAGTACCAAGCACACGTCCGTCTTCAGTTGAGACCACAGGGAACGACGAGTACTGAGCTGCCAAACACTGCGTCTTCTCTGCGAATTCGGCAGAAATTGACGGCGTCCACCAGGAGCGAAGCGCTCCGTTGCCATCGTAATTGCGTCCCTGGTCGTCGAATCCGTGCGAGAGTTCGTGGCCCATCACCATTCCGATACGAGCAAAGTTTGCAGCTGCCGGGAAGTGCTCAGGACTGTAGAACGGAGGCTGTAAGATGGCAGCAGGAAACACCATCTTGTTCGCACTCGGGTCGTAGTACGCGTTGACTGTCGACGGGAACATATCCCAGGCCTGTTCATCCACTGGCTTGCCCACAGCTTCAATGGTCGCTGCTGCACTGAGTTGCATCAAACTCTTGACGTTGTTAAAGAACGCGTCGGCTTGCAGCTCAAACGGTAGCGGCGGGACATCGTCGGGGCCTCCAATGTAATTCTTGACCTTGTTCAGCTTGTCCACAGCTGCGTCGTACGTGACTTTATCCAGCCACGACTCGGTCAATAGCAGCGCCTTCAATGACTCCTCGATCTCCGTCACCAGAGCTTGTGCTGCAGCTTTCGCGTCGGGTCCAAACACCTCTTGCATGTAATATTTCCCCAGCTCATCGCCCAAAAACGTCGTCGTCAGACGCTCACAGAACTGATCTCGAGGAAGGAGAGCTCCAGCGCCTTGAATTTTGCCATGAAATTCATGACTCGCACGACGGAAATATTCCCCTAGAACGGCTCCGAACGAGTCGATCAGGTGGAAACTCACGTAGTTTTTCAGCTGCGGTAACAGCGAGTCATCGCTCAGCAGTTCATTCTGCACCTCGAAGAAACTTGGCGTGGCGATGATGGCATAGAGCATGGGGAACGGCTCCAGCTTGTAGATTCCATTGAGATACGCCATCAAGAACGGGTATCTCGTAGCGATTTCAGCGAATGGGTACGCTGTATTGGTCGTCCACGGGTCCCTCAACGCCGCATTGGGTAGCGAGATGTTGGCGAACGCTGTCTCTGTCTCCAGTACAGCCTCGGCGTACTCACTAACATTGTGGTTCTCTAGACCTCCGACTGCGAATAATTTGGTCACATAGTCCACGTACAGTGCCGCGAAAGCGTCCACTTTGCTCTCTTCCAAGTAATATTCCCTTGACGGTAGAGTGAGTCCTCCTTGAGCTAGTTGTAGGACATTAGTGGCTGGATCCTCCGGGTCTGCACCCACGGACACACTGAAGAACGTGCTGATCCCAAGAGATTGGTCCATTTCACCCGCCAACTCCAGTAATTGAAGTGTGGAATTGGCTCGGTGGACGTTTTCAATGAGTTCAGCGATAAAACCCACCGCAGTAGTGTCCACGTCCTGGTCATTAAGACAGGAATGGTACAATTGCCCAATTTGCGGCGGATTCTGGTCAAAAATCTTCCGAATAGTGTCCTTGTTGCTCTCCGAGACGACGTAGAAGGACGAGTCGATGCCCGGACGGTCTGCAGGAATTTCGTGAGCTTTCAGCCACCCCCCGCAGGCGTATTGGTAGAAATCCACACAAGGATCTTCGGTCTGGTCCTTGAACGTCTCCATACTGGCTCGGAATGCCATTTCGTCGGCGTCGTCTGAGGTCAAAGTCTCGTCGAAGGAGACAATGACGTCCGCGACGTCGATGGGGGGAGAATTCCGCTGCTGGAACAGGCTCAAGACGCCGAGACCCAGCGTTCCCGCTAACACATATTGCCACACGCTGCGACGGCGCGTGGGAGGGCTGAACTGGGCGTCATCGACCAACAGCGGCGTGAACTCGTTCACACGAGCCATTGTTGCTTGGCTTCCAAGATTGAGAATGAGCTCTCCAAGAAGATCTTTTTGATTCGGACGGATATGATTACACCATTTTAAAAAAAAGAACGAAAAAAGATCGCAGCACGATCTTTTTTCGTTTTTTTTCAGCTGCTGAGCAGCTGCTGTCATAAAGGTACGTCAAATCTGATTACAACCTGAATCTGGTGTAACCAAACCCAATATGCTCAAACACAGTCTGCATGCCACAATATGCCACGAAACAGTCTATCCCTCACACATACGTCACAATTCGATGAGCAGTTCAGCTTTGCGCATGCTGCTGTTGCTTCTCGCTCTGTTGGCCTTCCCCGCCTGCAGCCACCGCCCCGATCTCCTCAAAGAACTGGGTGACAATGTGCCAGCCATGGAGCTAGTAAATGTCTCTCCATTATCATCGGAGGCTGCCAAGTCTCGCGTCCTCTGCTGGGTGAACACGTACCACGCCAACCACGACAAGCGACTTCACGCCATCAAGCGAACATGGGGTCGCAAGTGCGATAAGCTGCTGTTCATGAGCGACATAGAAGACCTGTCAGTTCCTACTGTGGAAATTGTAGCCCCTCCACGGCACGAGATGCTGTGGCAGAAGCACCGCGAGATTGTGCGGCTTTTGGTCCGCGAATACAGCGAAGACCAATTCGACTGGGTCTTTAAATGCGACGACGACACCTTTTTGATCATGGAGAACCTCAAGACTTATCTCAATAGTCCCGAAATTCGCGCAGTCGCCGAGGATGGGCCCGTTCTTTTGGGTCATCGGATGACGTTGCAGTGGTGGGAAATGCAGCGGCTGTTCGAACCTTTTGAGAACCACAATCCGGACCGTGTGGCGGCGATGCTCAAGGTGAAACAAGACACGAAGAATGACGGAGGTCTACTGTATACCCCTGGAGGAGGAGGGTATGCTATGAATTGGGCATACTTAAAGAAATTGGAGGCGGCGTTTGAGGAACCTTTTTGTCTGCCGAACGAAGTGGTGCCGGATGATTGGGCTATTTCGTTTTGCATGCGGCAATTCGGTGTCATTCCGCTGGATACGCGGGATAAAGAGAAGAGAGAGAGGTTCCACCAGTATGACCCCAACGATCTGTATACGAGACCGTACGATGAAGAGGCCTACGATCACAAACTCTTCTCGTCGATTTACCAGGAGAACAATTGGTTCTCGGATCACTTCGGCATTGGATGGCAAAATGGGAAGAACTGCTGTGCACCGGACTCAATTACCTTTCATTATGTCAAGCCACCGTTGATGGATCTGTTTTACGAATACTATTATGGACAACAGAACGCCACGAAGACTTAGATACTCGGCTCTTAAAAGCATGTTACGTGTCTTCATAGAAATTGTTGTTACATTGCATTAAGTGGCTAATTCGCTACAACTGTACGAGTTGCAACCGAGTACAATCTCGACGTCACCAAAGTTGGAACGCAAGTAGAGACTTCCGAACGCTAAGCAGTTGTTGGTTGCTGGATCGCAATTGATGCTGCCGTGCTTTTCGAGTCCATCGACTGAGTCCTGTGGACGTACCAGCAAAGCACACTGTTCATTAGTTTTCAGCGTTCCTCTCATTGAGTTGCCAGACTCGTTACCTCAGCCTCTACGATGACGTCGTCGGAATAGTTGGTGTGACGAATGGACATGGATCCGGACTCTGACCTCATGAAGTACATCCCGGCAAACGTTTGAGTCTGAACACACCAGAAATTGTTAGTCGGTATGATGCCGTTATAGCCGTAAGAACCGCAAGCCAAAACTTACATTTAGCTGCACCGAAATTGCCCCTGAGGCAGACTCGATGTGAACGGTGCCGCTTGCTGTGATTTCCTTCAGTTCAATGTCCCCTGATACTGTTGTGACTTCCAACCGACCCATAAAGGCTGAGTTTCCCTGAGCAAATATCCATACATCAGCACCCCAAAGCGGCTTATTGTTACATGTAGCAAGGATCCTTACCTCGATTAAAATCTCAGATCCATAGATGTCACCTGTTCCGCTTTTTAGAGTAATCCAGTTCGCGTGTATGTCGTCCACTGCAATCGATGCGGAGGAGCTCTTAGCTTCGATATGACTCCTTCCGGTATTAACAGAACTGTGATCAAAAGACAAGTTAGTTCGACCTGCCAGTTTCTTTGTAGCAATTTTCTAAATGTCCTGCCTGTGGACGTCGGACAGCGTCAAACTGCTTGCTCCAGTTTCCACTTGAAGATCGCATTGAGATAGTACTACGTTTGATATGCTGACGAGACCGAGTTCTGAGTAGACTCTGGCAGGCGATTCAGCTGTTGACGTGTTGCTTGCGTCGATCGTCATGCTGTCGACACTGATATCACCTGAAGTGGTCTCGAGGAGTAATTCAGCTCCACGAATCTCAACGTTTGAGCACAAAACGCTGGACTGCATTGTGGTGACGCTAAGTCCTTGGAGCTTCAAACTATCTGATCCCTTCACCACGACGGATGTGTTGGTGTTGACGACAACACGTTGAAGTGGTTCCTGTGGTAGCACAATCCCCACCATGGATCGCTGCGTAAAGGCGTAAGAACAAAATATAATTAAAAAATATTCAACTGCTACATACCTGACACGATCCGTCAAGCCATAAAAATTGAGATGCACCCACTGGCCAAAGATTGATGCTGACTGTGTCATTCTTGACCACTTTCTCGTACATACTGGAAGCTTCGACCGATCCGCCCTATACAAAAAAATGTCAGATTATTCACAACAGTGAGGTTCGGGACGTACGTTAGATGAGTAAAATTTAAAGTCCACGTTGGCTTCGGTCGAATTTGCTGGAGACACGATGATTTCTCCCCGGGAGAAAGAATTCTGCAAACGAATGACGTTCGTTGTGCCTTCTGAGCTTGAGTTGACAAGAGGAAAGCTTGCCGACGCGATTTGAGTGCCAATGCTGCTGCACTTGGCTACGAAAACCACGTTGGCGCACATGACTGCAAGGATAAACATGACTGCCAGCACAATGAACACAATCACGACCCGCATGGCAACCCGTTGCCGCCTTGTTGAGGTTTCAAAGTGCTTTATCCACTTGATCAAAGCAAAACTTCAGCCAACGTGTCATGCAACATTTCGATCAAAAAGAGTACAAACCTGTTGGAGAAACGAGAGCGGAGACTCTGGCTGCGAGATATTTGTACTAGGCTCAATTGGTTCAAGATCCACTGCAGTCTGCTGTAGGTCTTTCATACTGCGTTTGGCTCGGGCAAGTTGATGTTTCCAGGACGACGCATGACGCATTAAAGTTAAGCTCGTACCTGCTTCAGATAGAACGAATACCCCGGACAGGAGCCCCACATAGGCAACAGTGTTCAAGTTGGAGCGCATGACTGCCGCGAACCGCTCACGGTCGTATGCAACTTGTGACGTCGGTGGTAACAGCATACGAATACTCTCCCAGTTGTCAAGGATATTGTCCTCGACAAAACTTCGTCCAGCGAAGCAAGTGATGGCCAGAACGACCAAACACGCTCCGATAAGCGCTGACATTAAGTAACAGATGGAGAGTAATCGACGGTACTCGAAGTTGCCACCAATAAATGCCAGGAGAGCCACTATCAGCAGCAACATTCCGCTTGAAAAAATAGCAAGTCCTGCGTACGGTGCGGAGGCGAGAGTTCCGGTATCGACAATGTAGTTACCTCCAAGAATGAGAAAGAGTGATAGCGGAAACATGATCACGCTGAAAATCTGCAAAACATACTCGCTGTTAATACCAAATGAGTCTAAGTGAGCGATCGTCCAATAAGAATACCTGCAGGAAAGCTACAGCAGCGCGTCGCTCGCCCACCACTCGACGTAGGTACCAGCTAAAACACAGGTGAGCTACAGCATTCACGATGAGAACAACCGCAGCCAGCTCTAGTATTTTCTTAGTCTTTTTCAGAAGCTGCGCATTCAAGCGAAGTAAGGTTAGTAGTTTTGTCCGTAGCGTGAGGAATGGATTTTTTTTTTAACCTTCTCTCGGTTTTCAATGTCACGTAGCACAAGCGATTTGTCAAGAAATGCAGCAACCTCCAACTCCACGTCAGACGTGAACAAGATGCACAGCCCTCCAAGCAGGGCAAACCCAAAGCACGACCCGATCGCGACCATAAAGCTTCCAACTGCCGCCGGTGTCGATCTGCATACTCCCTACCACACTTGTGCATTTAGTTGAAATCCACTTGAGAGTTTTTTTCTTACAGCCTTACCAGGATTCCTGAGAGAATGCTCGTTATTCCCACCAGGAAGCTCAGCAATAATGTCGTTCGATGAAGAGAAGCTACAGCGTATAGCGCGAAGAGTGCAGCAATGCTCAATATTTCAAGCAGAAGCAACAACGCGCTGATACATCGTGTCTTGCACGTGAATGATGGTGGCGATAGTAAATCATGAGCCATGGAGCCTCCTCGAAAGAGGGAATTGTTTGGTCTATTACGCTGAAGTAGTACCGCGGTCCCACAGCGACAAGTAGGAATGATGTAGGTGAGGTCACTTGTCCATGCGTGTCCCTATCATTATCGTGAAACTCGGTTGAAACGCTCGTTATTTTAGCTTTCTGCGAAGTCTCATTAGAGCTTCAATAAAAGTGTGTGTAGGAGCTCATCGCTGTCCAACATGACGGATTGGTACGTGGAGAACCTCCACCTACTCGCAGCAGTGCTTATGTGCAGCCCGGTGGTATTCGTATTGGCCTTCATAGTCACCAGTACTCGAGTACGACGGAAGTTCGTCGTTGGTGCAGCTGAGACTCGAAAGACATCCGATACCCCCGAAGTGGCTCTTATCAAGGCTCATACTCGAATAGTTCGTCTTCTCTCGGTCGTCGGTATCCTGCTTCAAGCTATCCTGATCGTCAGTATCACTGGACTCTCGTCCAATAACTCGACCTATTCGCTTGCACTCATGCGTCCGGTGATCAACTTGTGTGTATTCATTCTCGGGTTCATGACCAACACTCACGCTGCTTTCCGTCTCGCGTACATGTTGCTACTGGGCCACATCGTTGTGCTTGACACGATCGCTGAGGTTTCGTTTGCCATGGTCATCAATTGCATACAGATGGAGGGAATGCAGTGTGGCGACAGCGCGCTATCACTTACCTTAAGCACTCTCAAGTTCCTAAAACGCCGCGAGCTTGCTAGCCTCTTCCTGACTCCATGGGTAATGCTTGAGACGGCCTACCTCTGCGTGGCTATTGGCTTTTGTTCATCTCGGTACTCGGCCAGAAAGTTATCACTCTCTCGCCCCACGTTCAACCTCCGTGCTGCGCTCCTCGCCAACTTCGTAGTCCATCCGCATCGATCTGCAACTGTCAAACGCCCTCGGTTCGCCGCTTAACAAGTTGCCTTTTTCATATATTTTTCACTTCAACTAAGCAAAAAGAATTGCATTCCATCAATATATTTTTAAGAAGGTTTTGCTACTCTTTCGAAGAGGTATAAAAAAACAAATGTAAAGAGGTATTATTCTGCCATAATCCTCTTTAACCTAATACTGTCACTGACCGGTAGCATGGCATCAGCCGCGCCAGAGGTGTCTGCGTCGGCGGCACCAAAGCCTCGGCGGACGTTCCACATTCAGCTGGACGCCAACAGTCCGGCGGAGATCAACTTCAAGCAGCTTGTGGTCGAGAGTGCGCGTGACTCGGAGCCTCCCACACCCGGTGCTAGTCCGTCAAACACAGTGTCCGATTCTACGCCGTCAACCGTGAAAGCTGTGCCGGTGTCGCGTCCACAGCGTTTTAACATCATCGAGCACCTGGAGAAACGCTACGGCGGTGGATCTGTGCTAAACGATGGCGACGACGGCGATGTGGGCAATGGCGGCTTGGACCGACGTGACGACGACGATCTCTACGACTCGGAGGACTCGTTTATCGACGACGCGGAGCTGCAACAGAATATTGAGGACGTAAGAGGCCAGACGCGAGTTAAGACCAAACATTCGGGCTTTTTCGTTAATGCTGGAGACGAGATTGAGACGCTGGAGAAGGAGGAGGACGAACTGGTGGACGCGAAGAACAAGAAAGGCAAGAAGAGAGCGGTGGATGGCGCATTACGGTCTTTTCTGACGGAAGTACCAGATGCAGCTAGTGACTGGCAACCAGAAGAAGAAGTTGTGAGGAAGTTGGAGGTATTGAGGACGGCGGTGCAGGAATGTAAGAGGAATTAGTGGCTGAACAGGATGTTATTGGTGGTATTGACCCATTTGGTAATGATGTAGTGGCGGAGACTGCGCCGATCCCTAAGGTGTTCCCGAGATCGCTGGATGAACCGCTGCGTGCAGTGGATAAGCTGGTGGTGGAGGCACATCCGAACAAGTGGCGGGTGACGGGATACTTCGCCACGTTGATGACGTTCTTGCCGTACACGAAGCAGTATCTAAAGGTTTGGATGTAGGTTGGAGCTTGAACGTGAGGTTTGAAGCTGACTTAAGTCACTTACGGCGATACATTCAGTCGAATATGCTGCGACTGGAAGCACGAGATGTAGCGAGGCATGAAAGGGAGAAACTAGATGCCGCGCTGGAAGCTTTGACGCAGCTTATTGCTACTTACGGGACGCGTGCTGCAGCTGAGTCTATCGATGTGGTGAAGACAGGTATGTTTCAGCTACTGAGCATTTGGGTGGAAGCTTGTAAATTGAACACTCTACTGCATACAGATATCGCAAAGGACAAGGAACTGGGAGCAAAACTGCATGCTCTGCTGGAGCTTCAAGACGAGTGGGTGTCCAAGGAAAATGACTACCGGTGCGAAGTATTATCTGGTGTCTTTCGCCACAAAGAGGCTCTGACCTTACGTCTTTTATAACTTGTCGCGTTCCAGGCAAATGCTTAAGACTGAAGACAAGAAACACATAAAGGAACTGGACTATAAGCCACTTAATCAGCGCCAGGAACGGAATCGAATGTTCAATCGGGTGAGTTGGTTGTGGCCTCAACTTCATTTGTTGATACATTTCGGCTAACATGTTGTGCGAGTGTGCGCAGATCCTCGCTCTGTTCACGCCTGGCCTGACAGACCTGCAGACATTACGTGCATTGAACAAGGCCGCCAAGGCTAAGACGTCAAAGAAGCCTGCACAACTGAAGACCCCTGTCAAAAACGCCACCGCAGCAGCAAAAAAGAAAACACTCGAGCCAACAAACACGGGAACGGCCCTAGTCAAGCGATCGATCAAGCCTTTCAAGTCGAGAATGATGGATGAGGTTCCACTGTTTGTAGAGGACGACTTTGAAGAGGTAGAACAGTGAGATAGAGAATGAAAAAGATAAATAAAAACGTACTACAGTAGGTATCTTAGACAAAGGCGTTGGCCTTCAGTGCCTCACGATCTTTAAGGACTGGGGATTCAAGCTCAAACGATGAACCTTGTGAACGGCCAACTGCAATTCGAGCCACGATGATACCAACGACGGAATCATAAAATAGTACTGTACATGTAAGCAGTAGTTCTTTGCATTCATGTCAAGCAAAGGAACAACACGCTTTGGGAAATGCAAAGATGCGGTATGGCAGTCGTGCTGCTTACAGCTTAAAAAATCTCCAGGGTGGCGTTGGGATCAACAGCGTACACGCCCTTGTAGCTGTCGAATAGACTCCTCAGCGCCTCTATGTACTGCGCTTGATACTTTTGTACATCTTCCTTCGATGGGTGCTCGATTCGTGGGAATCGCAGAGACTTGCCAACGACAGTGATGAGGTCGATATCGTTGCGTGGCAAGTAAAAGCACGAGGCCTCTCCGAAGAAGATTGTGCCAGGAATCTGAAGTCGGTTCAATTGCAGCCGCAGCGACTGCAGGTACGGGAACGCGTGGTACGTGTATTCCTCGCCGAAAGTGTATACTGGATGGACATTGTAGCCATGTTGCAATGCAATTTTGATGAACCCGAAGCGCTTTTTAAGATACAAGCGATGTTTGCCTCTCTGGTAGAGTGTGGCTTCTTCAAAGCCGCCAGGAATGATGCTGACGTTTTGATCTCTGCGCATGAACTTGAGCATGTTGGCTTTCGCGCAGCTGCTGTACTCCATCCAGTTGAGAAGGTCACGGACGAGAGGGAACCAGAAGAGGTTCTCAGCCGACAGCCATCGACACGCAGAGCGCTCGAAGCTCATGTGATATGCGCCGTTGAAAGAGAAGCCACAGGTCAGTATTCCATGCGGATGGAAAGCGAACAGGTTCTTGGTTCCTGTCTCCACATACGGTGAGATATCGTTCTCTTCAACAGCCTTGATAGCTGCAGCGGGACTGAGGTGTTCACTTTCATCCTGCTCCGTGTCTACTGTGGCGTCGTCGCTGTTGTTGGTCTGCTCGTCCTTTAGCCGCTGCTTTTGTTTCTCAAGCTCGCGTTCCTCGAAAATGGTCACGTTCAGACGGAAGTACGGGTAGCGCAGCAGGATGTGCCGCGCCAGACGCCTCATGCGCGGCCACAAATGCAGCGAATCGCGCGTGATGTAGTGGTAGCTCTCGTACAGCGCCGTGAACGCTAGATATACCTGCACACTAATTGGCGGTGGTGTTGCAAGCGCCCAACTTTTGGTTTGCAGCGCTGTCCAAGCCCAGTGACCAACGCACCAGCCGGAGTACAGCCACATAAGGATGTATGCCCCGAGTCCAAAGATCCAGAGACCGAAGAGCGACCACAGCAAGAAGCGCCGCCCCACGTATCCGCGCAGCGTCTGCAGCTCAGGAACAGCATTATTGTTGGGCCACAAGGGCGTGCGCCCTGTAGCAGCGTGCGCAACGCCGACCATTATTGACAATAATATTGTATTAATAGTATTGTTGGACGGCCGTAATGAAGAGTGCGCATGAAAAACCATCATAAATGTACGTGTCGCATACTTCGAAGTACATGCACAGTTGATTGCGCTAAGTTGGACAAAACTGTCCACATCAACATGCTGTCCGCAAACTGACGACATCGTTAAACTGAATCGACGAGAAGAAGGCGCCGCCTCCACTGAAGGCAGCCGAGCGTTGTGTATTACTGTAGTACTTTAGTCTTTATATTGTCAGTTGATATACATGAAGAACGGTATATCTGCTCCCAGCAGTGTGTCCTTCCTTGGGGCTGTATAGTCACATGAGCTTGGAGCTGGCGACATGGAAGGGGTTCTTCTTCTGCGTGCCAGTTTGAGGTTTGCTTGACCCCAGTAGATGTTCGAGTGAAAACTTGTCCGTGATGCGTTGCTGCGGCTTCTTGTTGACCTTCAGTAGCCGGTCACTCGACACGACGAACGGGCTTTTGCCACCGTTTAAAGCGGCCAGGTTAAACTTCTCTGCAAGTCTCGGGTCCTGGCGGCGACGCAGGGCGGCGGCGGTGGACGAGGCTAGTCGCGAGGTCATAGTGCTGGTTTTGGAGACGAAAAGACGTGAGAGCTTGGAGGCGAGATCAAGAGTGAGAAAGGCACATGAGAACTGTTTGTTAAACTTCATATTTAGTTTTTGCAAACCTCCATCTAAAAACAGGGTTTGTATTGAATAGGGACCTCTAGAATGACATACGGTCAGGATGGACTGAACTTGAAGTTTGCGGGCCTCAACCTTCAACGTCCAGCGGAAGGAACCGGTCCGGTTACCGGACCCTCTATTTCAAATAGCCGCCAGGTAAGTGGATGTGGAGGGTTAAAAGCTTGCTGCCTATGTGTCAAGATGCCGTCGGAGTCGACCTCTACGTGTCAGAAAATTTCTAATTCGGCGTCAGGGTCAGCAGCGTAGACACATTTGTACCTGTCAAATAGGTCACGCAGAGCCTCGACGTACTTGTCGTGGTTCTCCTTCACCTCATCTCTGCTCGGGTTGTCAATGTGTGGAAGGCGCAGCGGCTTACCGATGACGGTAATGAGGTCCACGTCCGAGCGTGGCATGAAGAAGCAGAACGGAATCCCGAAGAAGATAACGCCCGGGATTCGGAACCGGTTCAATTGCAAGCGTAGCCACTGCAGATAAGGAAACGCGTGATAGGTGTACTCTTCGCCGAATGTGTACGCCGGGTAGATGTCGTAGCCATGCTGAAGCGCCAGTTTGATGAATCCGAAGCGCTTCTGAATGTACACGCGGTGCTTGCCTCGCTGATAGAGCGTAGCTTCTTCGAAGCCTCCGGGCAGTAGACATAAGTTCTGACCTGTACGCATGGTGTTCTCCATGCTGGTTTTGGTGCTACTGCTGAACTCCATCCAATGCAAAATGTCACGCATTATCGGGAAGTAGAAGAGGTTCTCAGCCGAGATCCAGCGGCACGCCGCACGCTGGAAGGCCATGTGATGAGCACCGTTGAACGAGAACCCGCAGGTCAGTACTCCGTGTGGGTGGAAAGTAAATAACGCGCGCTTGTCCGGCTCGACGTACGGGGTCACATCGTTTTCTTCGATAGCTGCAGCTGCAGCCTTCGAGCTGAAGTATCTAGCGTCGTCGCTCTTGTTGGTAGTGCTATCGTTGCCATCCTTCTCCTGCTCTGGCTCTTGGATCTCGACGTTCTGCTTCGCATCCTCTCGCTCTTCGAAAACCACAGCGTTCAGTCGAAAATACGGGTAATGCAGGAACACGTAGCGCACCACGCGTCGAATTAGCGGCCATTCATGCAGCGCGTTCCGCGTCACATAATGATAACTTTCGTACGCGATCATACCAACCAGATACACTTGGACAAGAACAGGTAGCGGCGTGGCTGCAGTCCAACTGCCTCCATTGTGTAGGAAACTCAACAACGACCGTATCGTGCAGAGCCCCGAGAAGAGCCACATACCTATGAACGATGCCAGCCCGACAATCCACAGTCCGAACAGGTACCACAGCAGCACAAACCGAAGAATGCGTCCATGTAGCGTCTGTAGCTCTGGACGCGCGTCATTGTCCAGCCACGCAGACGTCCGTCCACAAGCTTGCGGCATGCCTGTCAAAACTGCAGGTGGTGTAATTCACATGATCGGATTTTGCCAGGACATTGAAATTAACCAATCAGTGTTCCCATATGAGATACTTTTAGGTGGAGACGGACCAGCTTTCTAGCTGTTATTTGCGCAGAGTTGTTAGGGCAGTACAGAACTGAATGAGGACAAAGGTAGAGAGGATTAGGCGGCCATAGTGAAGAGGAAGTCTTGAATGTAGAAGGAGAAGACGCTTGTGTGGTAGAGTTCGTAAAAGAGGAAGTGGTGATTTAGATAGTCTGGTGTCCTGGAGGGGAGTTATTCTCCACCAACCAGTCCAGTTATATAAGAAATCTCTATATGATATAGCACAATTATATTCCCCTAGATAGTCAGCATCACATCGGAGATGGTTACTTCAACAGCCTCCCACATCGAGGAATGTGTATGATGCTCTATCTGTCAGGTGCACCACAGGTGGCTGTTAATAACAGTCCTGTGCGTACATGAACATTTACAAGAGGTAGATCTTGTTTTGATATTGACATTCTTTTTTCTATGACTTCTATTGTCAGATTTGTCGTTTTGTTACCAGTTTTGGCAGGGGTTGTACAGATTTCTAGTTTAATTGTTATTTTGGCTACTCAGGAAAACCGTAGAGGATTAAACCTGTTCACCATAGTAGGATGTCGTTGTTAGCGCTTTTGTTGCACGCGTTTTGAAGAAAGCTACTCAGGAAAACCTTTCATTTTGAGGTGTCAAAACCTGTTCGCTGTATTGTTGGCTACTCAGGAAACCTTTGAGGATACACCTGTTCACCGTGTTGATATTTAGATTTTTGTGAAAGTTGTGTTAAACTTTTGTTCATTAAACTGCCAGTTTTGTGCTCTTTAGTTTGTGGATATTTCTTCACACTTTGAAATTTCGTATTTTCTTTTTGTTATTATTTGATTGCTTTTACTCTTGTGTGGAGAGTTTATAGTTTTCAAATATTTTTAAAGAAAGGCTACAGCTTTCAAAGCATAAAAACATCTAACAGTGTCATCGGTAGTGTACGCATCTTGTTTGCAGGCTCTCATCGTTGGGGCTATTTTTCTCCCTAGAGGCTCATGGAGTTGTTTCTCATTTCGAAGATTTTTATTTTGTTTATACTTCGCAAGTGCAAGCAATAGGTTTGTAAGCTATCGATTCCATTGAAAATGAAACTAATGCAGTAAAACTATAGTTGCTTTCTGTAGACAGAGGCTTGTGTAGGCTTGTCTTAAAGTCATAAAGTATTGAAGATTTTTTCTTTATGCTGGAAATGTTTAAAACTTTTGCCGCAATAATTTTTTTAAGTTTGGCGAATTGAATGAATTGTTTCGGCGTTGTTGCCTCCCAGTTTCATACATTTCTGGGCGTATTTCTTAACTTGGTTAAATACCAGACACATGTTTGTATGGACAATTGCCCATTTTCATTTTATCTCTTTCTTGTTTTTTTTAAGGTATATTTTTATTTTACAGGTCCAAAATGTAGTGGATTACCTGTTCTCAACAAGCCGTAGATCTGCATTTAGTAGACTGCTGCAGCTTTGCATTAAGCGAGGTTTTAGCTGGGCCATTCGGCCTTGTAGCTCGAGATGTACATATTTAAAATGGTATCTCATTAAGTACACATATACTAGTACTAAATACACAGCTTGTAGCTGGAATATTTTAAGCACAGCTTTATAGCTCGCAAGTGGGGCATTTGGCCTCCCAGTATGGCGTGACACTACAGCAATGCTGCTGGTGCGTGAGGGCGGTATTTAGTTCTTCGCCTTAAATATGTACTACATGTACGTAGAGCACAAGGCACTGTGGCCTTCTAGTACGGCTTTTCAACCAGCAGCAATAGTACAGCGCTATGGCTGGTCTGGCATCATGGCCTCACAACTCGGCAATGGCCGGTGTGGCACGGAATGTATGTGTCTCGTGCGGCGCTACAGCTCCATGGCGGGCGCGGGGGTTTCATGACCTCCCAGCATGGCGAATAACTACGCATGCTGTGCAACAGCACAGTGGCTGGAGCCAAGTTGGCAACGTGGCCTCACGCGAGTTGGTGTCCGTCGGGCGATTTTCTCTCCGATCTCCTTCATGATCCTTGGGGCTTGGAGGCGCATCGTCTTGCCGCTCTTAGCTCGTCAGTACCCTGGCGAAGCGTTGGGCTGATAACCTGTTGAAGGAATGATTTGCGCAGAGTTGTTAGGGCAGTACAGAACTGAATGAGGACAAAGGTAGAGAGGATTAGGCGGCCATAGTGAAGAGGAAGTCTTGAATGTAGAAGGAGAAGACGCTTGTGTGGTAGAGTTCGTAAAAGAGGAAGTGGTGATTTAGATAGTCTGGTGTCCTGGAGGGGAGTTATTCTCCACCAACCAGTCCAGTTATATAAGAAATCTCTATATGATATAGCACAATTATATTCCCCTAGATAGTCAGCATCACATCGGAGATGGTTACTTCAACATGTTGGAGGGATGATTTGCGCAGAGTTGTTAGGGCAGTATAGTACGGAGTGAGGACAAAAGTAGAGTGGTCTAGGCGGCCATAGTGGAGAGGAAGTCTTGAGTGTAGAAGGAGAAGACGCTTGTGTGGTAGAGTTCGTAAAAGAGGAAGTGGTGATTTAGATAGTCTGGTGTTCTGGAGGGGAGTTACTCTCCACCAACCAGTCCAGTTATATACGATTTCTCTATATGAAATAGCACAATTATATTCCACTAGATAGTCATCATCACATCGGAGATGGTTACTTCAACAGCCTCCCACATCGAGGAATGTGTATGATGCTCTATCTGTCGGATAGTATTTAATGTACCACAGGTGGCTGTTTATAACAGTCCTGTACGTACATGAGCATTTACAAGAAGTTGATCTTGTTTTGATATTGATGATCATTTTCCTTTGACTTTCATTGTCAGATTTGTCACATTGTGCCGTTTTGCTTTGGCAATAACTGTGCTGATTTCTTGTTTTCATTGTTATTTTGGCTACTCAGGAAAACCTTAGAGGATTAAACCTGTTCACCGTAGTGATTGTTGTTGTTATCGTTTTAGTTATACGAATTTGTAGCAGCTACTTCAGGGAAAATTTTAATTTTAAGGATCAGAACATGTTCGCTGAATTGTTGCTGTTATCGTTTTAATTATACGAATTTGTAGAAGCTACCTCAGGAAAACCTTTAATTTTAAGGATCAAAACCTGTTCGCTCTGTTGTTGGCTACTCAGGAAACCTTTGAGGATACACCTGATCACCGTATTTATCTTTATATATTTTGTGTAAGCGTTTTAGCTTTGTTCATTTCTTAAACTGCCATTGTTTTGCTCTTTCATATGTGGATATTTCTTCACAACGTGTGGTTTGTTTTTTGTTTTTCGCTGCTGAGGTCTTATAGAATTGCCTCCCAATTTCATGAAATGGTTGATATAGGTGCTGCAGTCATTTTCAATTTGTTCTGACTATTGTTATTGAGAGCTTATAGTTTTCAAATTTTTTTGAAGAAAGGCTACAGCTTTTAAAAGCATAAATAACATCAAACAGTGTCATCGGTAGCGTACGCATCATATTTGCAGTAAGTGTGCAGGCTCTCGTCGTTTAGGTTATTTTTCTCCCTAGAGGCTCATCGAGTTGTTTCTCGTTTGGAAGTTTATACTTTTATTTTTACTTCGCAAGCGCTAGCGATAGATTTTGCAAACTATCGAATTCATTGTAGATGAAATTGATGCAGTAAAACTATAGTTTGCTTTCTGTAGACAGAGGCTTCTGTAGGCTTGTCTTGTAGTCATAAAGTGTTGAATTTTTTTTTCTCATTCTTTTGGTACTGTTATGCTGGAAATGTTTGAAACTTTTGCCAGCGACAATAAATGTTAAAGTTTGGCGAATGCATGAATAGTTTTTGGCGTTGATGCCTCCCAGTTTCATACATTTCATTAAGTATTTCTCTCTCAACGTGGGGGTTAATATTTTTTTTTCTTCGTACAAACAAGGCAGCCTTTGTGAAATTTGCAATTTTGTTTTTGCATCTTGCAAATTGCATGTATGATTTTATTCATAAATTTCTTTTGTGAATGTGGCATAAATATGTTTTGAGCAGCTAGGTAGCAATGCTTGCACCAAAGCAATATTAGGAGCACACTTCACTCACATTTTATCTAGCTCACAGCTTTGGGGTAATTTTCTCCCTGGTGGCTCTTCGGATTGTATTCCGGATTTTATTATACTTCGAAGTAGTGAGAAGCATGCACACTATTTAGTCAATTGACAGAGACATTGCTCATGCAAAAAAGTGTTATTGCTTCGTAGGCTCAATACGCAGTGCGTATGGTACGGAGTCCAGGGAGATTCTCCTCTGGCTCAATACGCAGTGCGTATGGTACGGAATCCAGGGAGATTCTCCTCTGGCTCGATACCGCGTGGCAGACGTGCTGCTCACCGCGTGCAACTCGTTTGCTGGCGTAGAGGGCAACATGGCCTCCCAGCATGGCGATCTATTGCACATGCAGCGCTACAGCTCAGTGGCTGGCGCAAAGTTGGCAACGTGGCCTAACGCAGGCAAGTGTCCGTCCAGCGATTTCTCACTCAGGTCTCCTTCACCTCCTTGTGCCCCTGGCCATTCATGCGGCTTGGAGGTGTGTTGTCTTGCAGCGTCCAGCTCGCCCCTGGAGAAACGTTGGGCTGATAACCTGTTGGAGGGATGATTTGCGCAGAGTTGTTAGGGCAGTACAGTACGGAGTGAGGACAAAAGTAGAGTGGTCTAGGCGGCCATAGTGGAGAGGAAGTCTTGAGTGTAGAAGGAGAAGACGCTTGTGTGGTAGAGTTCATAAAAGAGGAAGTGGTGATTTAGATAGTCTGGTGTCCTGGAGGGGAGTTATTCTCCACCAACCAGTCCAGTTATATACGATTTCTCTATATGAAATAGCACAATTATATTCCACTAGATAGTCATCATCACATCGGAGATGCTTACTTCGACACTAGCGTGTGTACTAACCAGCACTTCGACAGCC